TATATATATATATTTATAAAACATAATTCTGCCTAACATCTCCTTTTGTAAGTCATATGAATAAGAAACAAAATAAAGGTATGTGATAAGACGTTTTATTTTTGGATAAACTATTTTATTCACAACTTAATCGATCTTAAAATACCTCATAGGGTTATGATAATCAAAACAGTCCTGAGCTAGATCAAGCTTTGACCTCTGCAAACCAAACTATCACTTTAATGAAATAATATTTTTTCCCCACTAATAAAAAGATTTTATCATTAGCTAGCTCCACACTGGAGAGCTGCTTTATAACAGAAAATCAAGTTGTAATTCTAACTAAAAGCGTGTTTAATGCTGTAGATCTGCTTGATTTAAGGCTATCTATTGCATAAAGTACTATAGAAATAAACGTGACGTGACTGGACTTTACTGGAGTACCGAACTGCAAACATCCACATCGCTGTAATCAGATGCTTTCTTAACTGCTGCTTTCCCACCGCGGTCAGTTTTGTCGTGTTTATTTCGTTATTGATAGGAAAGCATGCAGCATATATTTTCATATTCATCCAAACACTGTTCAACAGCTTCAGGTTCGGCTGCGTTTGCTCTTCTTCTCTTGAATTGCATCCAAGAAGGCTGACAGTCTTGCACTACAGCGCCGCACTGGTCAAACCACATTATTGCAGGCTGTTACGTTATTAGGTCATATGAGATCAAACGACTACCCGACAACAAAAATATTTGTCGATAATTTTTTATTGCCGATAATGTCGACTAATCGTTTCAGCTCTGCTTACCATCACTAAAGGTGAAGGTCATGGTCTCGTTCCCACTGTCGGGCAGCGTTCCATCCCTCCTCCCGTTAGTATGCTGCATTGCATCGTGCGATTTATAGTCCTTGCTTTTGTAACCTTTCGAGGATTTGTTGCGGGTGCTGATGCGTATGACGCCGTGCACCAGCCGACACTCCGCTTCTTGCTCCTCCAAGTTGTAGTCCTGAGCAATGCTGTTGATCAGATCGCTGATCTCGTTGGTTTTCCGGGAGAAGGACACGTCGGATGTGCATTTGGCAAGCTGCTCGATCTGGTGCATTTTATAAAGTTCTAGAAGCTTTTTTGTGATTAGCGAGTCGATATCAGTGCCGCCGTCATCCAGGTCGTCTAGATCCAAATCCTCCCTCGAGTAGATACTGGTGTTACTGATGGGACGCTGGTTGTTGTCGCCCTTTCCAGCCGTTCTGGTCCGTCTTGGAGGTGCCTCGGAGTTGGCAGGGTACTCCACTTTCTTGCCAGCAAAATAAACGTCGCCGTACCTGAAGCTTCCAGAGCTTAGCAACTGCATCTTTTTGCTCGGTTCGAGGTTTACGCCGCACGTGGGATTGGACAGAGCCAATCCATTAGGCTTCCTCGGTTCCGGCTCGGCTTTTAAAGGGTTGTCAGTGGAGCTCTCGTTGGGCGGCAAGCAAGGTTTGCGAGACCCGTAAAGCCCACAAGTCAGAATGCAGCAAAGCAGAGCTTTGCAACCACTCCAGCCAAGAGAGGCACATGAGCCGCAGGCTTGCGTACCTTGAGGAGAGTCGGCGGAGCCTGGGAAAAAGCCCAGGGTTTCTGAACCTCGTCCATTGGCGTAGAGAGGATGGGTTTTATGGGGGAACTGCGAGTCTATGCTACGAGGTTGCTCGCTGTAGATCTCCTTGAAGGTCTCCTGACTGGTGCTGCTGTCCTTGGAGCAGGTGCGGCTTTGCCTGTAGCCATCGGCCCTAGAGCGGCTTGAGCTATGAGGATGCGTCTTGTGATGTGATCCTGTGCTGTGGCCAGGCATAACTCACCACATTCAGGACCTGCAGGAACATAGGACGGACGTTAATGCATCAAGAGCTGAGACAAACAATTGCTTCTTAGGCTTGTTTCATGAACAGAGTCAATATGTGGACCACAAAACCAGTCATAAGGGAAATTTAGATTTATACATCATCTGAAAGCTGAATAAATAAGCTTTCCATTGATGTATGGTTTGTTAGGATAGGACAATATTTGGCCGAGATACAACTACACTAGTGAACATTTGAAGTGGATCGAAACCTTTCATCAAAGTTGTCCTAAAACCAAAATGCATTCTTGTCTCAGGACAACTTTGATGAACTTTTTTGATCCACTTCAAATGTTGACTACTGTATTGGAAAATCTGGAATCTGAGGGTGCAAAAAAAAATTGCCTTTTCTTCTTAGCAATGCATATTACTAATCAAACATTAAGTTTTGATATATTTACGGTAGGAAATTTACAACATATCTTCATGGAGCATGATCTTTACTTAATATCCTAATGATTTTTGGCATTAAAGAGAAATGTATAATTGTGACCCATACAATGTATTGTTGGCTATTTCTACAAATATCCCCCAGCGACTTAACACTGCTTTTGTGCTGCAGGGACACATACAGTATTATACAGGTTGCAGCGTTCAACCTGCATGCATAAACAAAGCAGCACTATCGTGCCTGCATGTAGAGATGTGCTGAGCCTATTTTTGCAGAATGTTGCATGCATGATTAAAATACAGCATTATTTGCAATTTAGGCTTTTTTGGAGCAACATGAAATGACAATTTTAAAAAAAGACTGCTTTTAAGATTTCACCATTTAATTGTAATCTAGATGTTTATGTAGTCTTCTAATATCGTTTGTCATTCTCAATCAGGTTCTCCTAACCATTTTATCATTTATGGCATAGGTATTAAAGTACATACACTGCCGTTTGGGATAAGTATGATTTGTCATCAAGGCTGTATTTATTTGATTATAAATACAATAAAAACAATAATATTGTGAAATATTATTGCAATTCCTAATATTGGTGTCCTATTGTAATAATTTTTCAAATATAATTTATTTTTGTGATGCTGCGCTGAATTTTCAGCATCATTACTTCAGATCCTTCAGAAATCATTCTAATATGCTGATTTATGATCAGTGTTGAAACTGTTGTGCTGCTTGATGTATTTTTGGAACGTTCAAGAAAGCCAAGTTCCAGACACTGAGCCAAAAAAATGAATTATAAACAGTGAGCGCTAAGAAAACTGATCAAAGTTTTTAGTGAATATACAACCTCAAAGTGTTAGATTTTAAATTTCTCATTTATTGCACAATGACTTCCTCAAGCCTGGAGATATAACAAAAATACAACTCAACCGTGCAATGATGATGGAGAAATCAAATAAATTTACAAAATGAATTCATCATCAACATTGCATCAGTATACCACTGACCATATTTTGCCCAGCTGGGTCAAAATACCACACCACATAGTGGACACCTTCATTCTGTGTCTACATGCATTGTGCTCCTAAAGGCATTTCAAGCATGTCGACAGCGAGCTGATCTGTATCTAGAGAGCATAGAAGGGTTATTTATGCAAGCCTGGAAAATGCAAACATGATTTGGAGCAGTCATATCAGGATTTCACACGATGAACATCTTCTTACACTCTTATAAAGGTTTCAAAAGTGGGTTTTTGCAGGTATGCCAGCATAGAAGAACCACTTTGGGTTCTCCAAAGAACTTTTTCCACTGTAAAGAACCTTTTGTGCATTGGAAGGGTTTTTCATGGAACCAAATATGCCAATTAAGACCCTTTGTTTTTAAGAGTTTAGCATGTTTAAATTTAGTAAAGAGGGTTTTCTTTGGTGGGCAGGAATTACTCGATCATCAAGTTATTTTTAAATACACTCCCTTGTGACTTCACCTTTCATACAGTCAGCGTTTGACTCAAGGATTGCGTACTTTGTCTAGAATCATGCGTTTTCGATGAATCCTGTCACATGCCATCCAAACTGTGAATGCTTGATATAGATATAGAGAAGTATTGTCAGTTGCCATCATCCTTAGACAGACAGTTTGAGGAAACTCTAGAGAATAATCGTGTATAAAGTGGAAGGGAAAGAAAAACCCAGAATACATTGTCACAGAAAGGACTGGCTATTCATTTCAGTATACACAGAGTTAAGTCAGAGCTATAGGGCAGGCCTGTAAAGTGTGCTCCGGCCAGTCCCAAAAACTTTATTTGGACTTTTTAGCATTTTATGCATTGCACGTATTGGCAAAATGCAGTTTGTATGTCCAAACAACATGAAATGCTTCATTAGTCTTTTTTTTAACAGCCTCAAACTGTTCTCATCTGTATGCAAACAATATTTACAGACTTCACAGAAATATGCATGCCTATAATCCTTTGGAAAGACCCATTACTTCCAATGCAAGCGGCCAAGCGAGCACGCATCCACTAGGATCCATTGATCGAGAGCGTCGTCGGAGCAGATGGTTTGTCAAGGTGTCACTTACCGCATAGGCTCGGGTGAAATCTTCAGTTGTTTTGAACGTTCAAGATCGCGGAAGTAGCCCGAGTGTGAAATATGTTCCTTCTGACGCGTTATAACCTCTGCTTCGTCGATCTTAGCTTCGACTCACTGACTGAAAACGGGTCCAACGTGTCGATTTCGTCGCGCAGCACGCGCTTTCAGAGTCGGCTCATACTAATAAAGCTTGGCTCGGCGAGATTCGTGCCGTTCTTCACCTGCGGCTACAGGTAAGCAGTGACGTCACGCCCTCCAAACGGATGTGTTGCTTAAACCTCCGAAATGCCTTTTCTTCCTTTACTCTTGCCTTCCTTTAAATCAAATAAAACCTGAATGTATTATTGTCAGTGTACACAAAAAACAATCACTTTATGGTGTTACAGGCATTGGTTATGTCTACAAATCAAATATGAGTTATTTCTCATGCACCAAACTCAAAAGCTATTTGAACAGGTTTACTTTTTAAAGAGGTTCTCTTGGTCTAACATCAGTTGTTCTCGATGTGCAATGCAGCGATTAAGAATATCTAGATTTTTAAAGGTTTTTTAAATAAGAAAATGAGCACATTTCCATATGGATTTAATGTCAACAATATTAGCATCTGAGATGGACAACATCTTCAGGGTTGAAAAAGTATATATAATGTGCAAAAAAAAAAAAAAAAGGTTTGGAGGATGTAAGTTTCCTGCATATATATATATATATATATATTCCTTGCACTCACTCTCTACTTTTCACTCTCTTTCTTTTACTTCTTTATTTCTTTACTGTTTCTTCTCACTGCGTTCTTCTCATATCTTCTACTTTTTCTTCTGATATTCACTACTCCGTCCCTCAGATATAATACTTTTGAAATACTCTGCACTTTAGTATAAATGATTGCATAAGATAGATCTTCTTTTGGTTGAGACTTTATTCTTTTATTGTATTAATATGTATTTAATCAACTTGTTATTCCTTCTTCTAAAATTGATCTCTGACATAATTATTAGGCTACTCGTCTGTCTGGATCTCACACTGCATCATCTTATCAAATGAATGAGTTGAAAGGTAATGGAAAAAAGCACACACACACACACACACACACACACACACACACACATGAAAGGTAATGGAAAAAAGCAGTAGGAAGGAACCCCAAACAGAACATTTTATGTACGTTTCTGAAGCATTTTTGGTGAAATTATGCATACTGAATGATGCAAACGTCATTCGTACACTACAGATTTACTTGCACTGCACTGGAAAAAAGCACTCACTCACACACACACACACACACTCTCACACACACACACACACACACACACACACAGACACACACACACTCTCTCACACACACACCCCATTTTCCCCCAATACACCCCTTCATTTCCCTCCTTTCCTCAACCGTGGCGAAATATCGAGGACACAATCTGTAGCAGCAAACGCTGTGGGCCGCACCAAATAATGTGATGGAGAGGAGCGTTACAATCTGGTGAATAGGTTATGAAATATAATGGAGACCATAATTCAGTCAAATAGGGTTAGATGCACATGAGAAGTCATTCAGTGCGTCTTCAAGTCTTCTTATAACCTCTAAGACAACAACAGACTGATATTGTGAGCTCATGAAAACCGGCTGATAATCAACAGTTTTTTTGCGGTAAATCTTGTGTCAAAAAGTTTAATTTAAGCAAATTTTGTGTTTTTGTGTTGACTCATCTTGCATTGGTGGATTTTACAATTAAATTATATGCGTGTTAGCATCAGTGTTGGGCAGTAACTAGTTACATGTAACGGATTTTTCGGAATTTAATTACAAAATAAATGTAACTGTAATCTGTTACAGTTACTGAGAAAATAATGTGTAGTTAAATTACAGTTACCTATGAAAATGTTAACGATTACAAAGGGGTTACATCTGAATATTTTCACACAGATACAGATGGACACAGAATAGAACACATGCTTATTCCATAACTCTTTTATTTCCTATTTGGGTTGATGTATATGCTTTATTTGAGTTTTTTTCCAAAAGGCATCATTAGATATCCTGTTTCCTGTATGCAAAGATTTAAAAAAACAGTATCATAGCTATTAAATGGTCTCTTGTTATAATTTTAAATCTGTTTTTAACCTCAGAGTGATCTCAAAGTAAACCAAGGTGCTAAAGTCTGATTTATGGTGGCTGTGCTTTAAATTCGATTATTAGAATCTTAATTCAAGTGATGAATGATTTTGAAAGTGTTGAGCACTACTATAACTATATATTAAATGGTTAAAAATTATTAACAGCTGAAAACATTTGTTAAAAAATTTAGAAAAGTAATCAAAAATTATTAAATGCAATCAGTTACATTAATAAAGTAACTGAAATAGTTACACTAAGTATTACATCTTAAACAGGGTAACTTTTCCAAAGTCGCAAATATCATGCATTTATTGGCATTGCATCAGTTATCAGTCAAACATGTTTCTAATTAATGATATCTGCCAACCACTAATGATATTTAGAAACCGTCAAGCGAACCACTTTGCTACAAACGCTTCTACAGATGGGTTCATCGTGCAGTTATAGTGTCACGTCGGATGGGATCTGTGTGATACGGGCATCAGTAGAGATGTGCGCCAAACGCGGATCCATTCGAGGGCGACTCTGCTGCTGAGCGTGCGAAACGTGACCCAGTCGTGGATCGGAGTCGATCTCGTAACGGTAATGATACCCCTCCAGCACATCTCGACAGGCTTCATATATTTCTGTGATCCACTTCTTAATACCCTTTCGATTGAGGTAGACGACAAAGAGGAAGACCATGCCTACGAATCCCAACACTAATCCAAGGAAAACATAGGATGTTTGTAGGGACAAGTCGGTAATCTCTTCGGGAACATTACCGTAACACCCCAACCCCTGTGCGCTAATACCCCGCAAAGATGCGCCACGAAGAGAAGCAGGGAATTCGCAATACAGCCCGTCCACATCGTCCACCCTGACTTTCGAACTGTTTAGCCAGTTTGCGAACTCTTGCGCTTCGCAAGTGCATGCATACGGATTCTGACCCAAAAGTAAACGCACGCGGCCGAGTCGCTCCAGCTCGCGCAGACCCTCGTCGCTGATCGTTCTGAAGGCGTTTCCAGTCAAGTCCAGCTCTAGAAGTTGCTCGACGCCAGAGAATGTGCCATTGTAGATGGCCACCAGAGAGTTGTTGCGCAGATGCAGATGCTGCAGGTTGGGCAGAGGAGCGAACACCCCCGGGGGTAAGAGGACAAGGCGGTTGCCCGATAGATCGAGGCGAAGCAGGTTTGTAAGCTCTCCCCAGCGCAGGGCGGTGATGAGGTCGGTCAGAGACGAGTAGTTATAGAGCGACGAGCGCAGGCTGAGCTCCTGCAGAGGGCTGCCAGGCACGGAGAACGCCTCGGGGTGGATCAGAACCAGCTGGTTGTTGTTCAGGATTAGAGAACGCAGCGCGAGCAGAGAGGAGAACGCGTGCGAGCCGATCTCTATTATGCTGGGAGAACAGAGAGAGAGTTTGAGGATTTCAGCAAGAGCACATGACTAAATCTGTAATAGTGTTAGAAGAGTAAAAATACAGACTATAATGGTGGATGGATGGATAGATGGATAGATAGATAGATGGATGGATGGATGGATGGATGGATGGATGGATGGATGGATGGATGGATAGATAGATAGATAGATAGGTAAAAAGAGATAGATAGATAGATGGATGGATGGAGAGAGATTGATATATAGACATACAGATAGACAGATGGATAGATATATAGATAAATGATAGACAGATAGATAGATAGATGGATAGACAGATAGATAGATAGATAGATAGATGGATGGATGGAGAGAGATTGATATATAGACATACAGATAGACAGATGGATAGATATATAGATAAATGATAGATAGATAGATAGATAGATAGATAGATAGATAGACAAACGATAGGTAAAAAGAGATGGATAGACAGATAGATAGATGGATAGATAGATGGATAGATAGATGGATAGATAGATGGATAGATAGATAGATAGATAGATAGATAGATAGATAGATAGATAGATAGATAGATAGATAGATAGATAGACAAACGATAGGTAAACAGAGATGGCTAGACAGACAGACAGGTTTTGTATCTTCCCATGATTACTCTACAGTAGACTGCTAGGTTTAGTTGACTAGCAGTGTGTTTCTCACCCGTTGTCGCTCAGGTTCAGGAGTGTGGCGTTCTGCGGTCCGCTGAAGGCGCTGGGATCGAGTCTGGGAATCGCGTTGCCGGTGATGATCAGGCTGCTCGCGTCGCGTGGGATCGCGGCAGACGCGCAGCGCACCGTCCGCGGAGCGTCAGAACACTCGCAGCGCGGCGGACACGACGCGACGCACGCGGAGACGCACAGCATCGCGCAGACGAGCGTCAGCGGCATCATCCTCGCGGTCCGGAGTCAGTGCACATGCTGTCTCACTAACAGACTGAGCAGAAACACCTCTGATCTCTGAGATATGAGCGCGAGAGGGAGGGTGGAGCTGGATATACTCCACAACACAGCCATCCTGATCAGAGGGAGCACTTACACAGCAGCTTGTGCTGAGTTCAGATGTAAAGTGCACTGTTGGGAAATATTAACAGCACTCATCTTTCCTTTGTCATGCATTCAATTCCCAACTATACAGCTGAAGAAAAATTTTTTTTTCACAAATTTTACAATCAAAACAGTTGTTGGGTTTAAAATGCTAAAGCACTTACTGTTGAAGATGAAGACAGTATTAGTTAGTGCATGGAGTTTGTAATGTGATTCTGTGTGAACTTGAGACACAGCCACTAAAAATGAACAAATGCATTTGATTCAAACACATTCAGACGAATCAAACATCATGCAGAAAAGTATGGAGGCTTGTTTCCAGATACAAAAAATTTAATTTGATATCTCACAATTCTTTGTTTCTTGCACTTTTTTGTCATATCAAGTCAGAATTATGAGATAAAAAGTCAGAATTAACTTTATTTTTAATTCCGTTGCAGAACAAATAAAAAAAGCAGAATTGCGAGATGTAAACTCTGTAAAAATTCTGGGTTTATATCTTGAAATTCTGACTTTTTCTCAGAATTGTTTATATAAACTTTATTTCTCACAATGTTTTTTCAGAATTTTTCTGAAATGTCAGAATTGTGTGATGAGAAAGTTACAGCTTTCTTTGTAATTTTAAATTCTGCGGCAGAAACAAAAAAGGAACAGAATTGCAAGATGTCAGAATTCTGAGAGAAAGGTCAAAATTCCGAGTTTATAGATCAAAGGTCTAACTTTTTCTCATAATGCTAAGTTGATATCTTGCAATTACATTTTGTTTTCTCAGAACTGCAAAAAAAAAAAGTAGTCAAAATTACCTTTTTTATTTTTAATTCTGCTGCGGAATTGCGAGCTGTAAACTGAGAATACTGAGAAATTCTTAGTCTATATCGTGCAATTCTGACTTTTTCTCAGAATTGTTTATATAAAGTTTATTTCTCACATTTCCCCCCCCCCCAGAATTTTTCTGAAATGTCAGAATTGCGAGATGAAAAAGTTACAATTTCCTTTTTTTTTTTTTTAAATGTTTTTAAAATTTTTATTTCTGTGGCGGAAACAAAAAAGAAACACAATTGCAAGATGTAAAGTCAGAATTGCGAGACAAAGGTTTATATATAAAAAACTTTCTTGCACCTCTTTTAATTTTTAATTCTGTGGCAGAAATAAAAACAGAATTGCGTGTAAAGTCAGAATTCTGAGGAAAAAAGCTGCACGATGTAAACTTGGAAAACTTGAAAAAAGTCCAATCTGTGAGCTAAAAGGTCACAATCCTGTGGTGGAAATGGCCTTTAATAGTACAGTGGCACTACTGAAGAGAAAAGATCCTGCACTAACAACACTAGCAAACTCTTGAGTTTTAAGGCTCGAGAAGATGGGCTGGTTTAGAGCGGGTTTAGTCACCATGGTAACTTACTACACAGCTTCCCTGCTCCAGAGCAGGCTTTATTCTGGGTTAGACATCTGGAACCCAAACTGGACCAATCAGCTGTGAGCAAAGTGACATACATCTGATGTTTTCTTTTCAATCAGATCTGTTGTTTTAGCATTACAACCACGATAACGTGTGAGCTTGCTTTCTTTACAATATTATACATCACCCTGCAGCACAAAAGCAGTGTTAAGTCGCTGGGGGATATTTGTAGCAATAGCCAACAATACATTGTATGGGTCACAATTATACATTTCTCTTTTATGCCAAAAATCATTAGGATATTAAGTAAAGATCATGTTCCGTGAAGATATTTTGTAAATTTCCTACCGTAAATATATCAAAACTTAATAATATGCATTGCTAAGAACTTCATTTGAACAACTTTAAAGATGATTTTCTCAATATTTAGATTTTTTTGCACCCTCAGATTCCAGATTTTCAAATATTGTCCGATCCTAACAAACCATACATCAATGGAAAGCTTATTTATTCAGCTTTCAGATGATGCATACATCTCAATTTCAAAAAATTGGTCCAGAGTCACATATTTTGTGCATGTAAGTGCATCTTCAGTGAGGACAAACATTAAAAAATGAGGACAAACATCAACAAGGACAAGGAATGAACCTGGAATTAAGCACATTTACAAACTCACATTAATGTAAAACAATACACGCCTGAGAACATTCAGGATCATTTAAAACAACTGATGAAAGTTCAAAATGACACTGAGATCATTTTGACAGGAGACTGCTGCCATGTTTCATTTAGCCGTATCCACGTATGTGATATACATATCAAACGCTTATGTGATGTAAAAAAGTCCCTGTAATTGACTTATTTCCCAAGGTGCTGGTAGTCCGTGTCTCGTGTCATCAGATGCACAGAGGTCTCTGTATTTCGGTCCAGGGTCAGCGGCTCGTGTGCACAGCATCTCTCTCTCTCTCTCTCAGAGTCATCGCAGGTTGACAGCAAGGCCGATGGTGACGACGACCCCACAGATCATCAGGAAAGGCAGCCAGGTCTTCAGGAACCCCACAAAGCTGCAGGACACGAGAAAGAGAGGAACAGAGACCTTCGAACGAGCTGCTTTAGCACTGTGTGGAAAAACCGCTGGCCTTTTAGAGAAGCACGTAACATTACAGGGTCAGTTTAAACAAGAATGCAAATTCTGTCATTATTTCCTCCGCTTTATGTCGTTACAAACCCGTTTCTAAGCAGGTCAATTTAAGACTTTTTAAGACCAAGTAAAGACATTTTAAGGAACGCAACGAGTTGTTTTAGCAGCATTTTTTCTTACCAATCTCCATTACTTTTTTAATCATGTTATGGCTTGAATAGCTCTGTTTACAAATATTAGCATATAAAAAATAACTTTTATTGTACCTTCTGATCACGCTGCAAAAAAAGGCGAGTCAGTATTTTTCTTATCTTGTTTTTCAGCGCAAATTCTCAAATCTAAAAAGAGTTAATTTGCAAAAACCGATAACTCAGTTTTTAACAATTCTCAAAAATCATGTTTTTTCATTGTGCGTTCCAATCAATCTCAATCAATCAATAACTGCAGCTGGGTTATTTTGATTAGGTTAAAAAATAACTAAAAATTGCAGCTAACTAACACAATAAAAAACATGATTTTTGAACATTTCAAAAAACGGAGTTATCTGTCTTTGCATATAAACTCTTCATATGTATATATCTGCTACACTGCAAAAAAATTAATTCTTACTTAGTATTTTTGTCTTGTGTTCTAGTATAAATATCTAAACGTTCTTCAATCAAGATGCATTTCCTTGACAAGCAAAATGACTCGAGATATTAAGTCTTGTTTTCTGAAAGAGTTATCAAGATTTTGTTAGTTTTGGCTTACAATAAGAAAAAATATCTTTCAACGGGCTCCGAAAAAAAAAATCTTAATTCAAAAGGAAAACAAGTGCAATTTTCTCACCCCACTGGCAGATATTTCTTTAACAAAATTGTGATCATTTTTTAAGTCTTAATATTTTTAAGTCATTCTGCTTCTCCATTAAATGTTATCTTGATTTAAGGATGTTTAGGTATTAACAAAACAAAATGTTTTCTGCAGTGCATGCAACATTTAATGCTACGCTGATTTAAGACCTTGCTGAAGGGCAAATGAAGACTTTTTAGGACCCGCAGAAACATTGCGAAGTCAGAATGTCAGCGTCACGACATTAATTGCTTTAAAATGATGACTTTTGAGGATAATCTTACACAGAAACCCACAATCCATCTCTCTCTCCAGATAACCGTCCTGCTGTCCTCTACGCCGCAGCGCTGAGAGCCCCAGCGGAAAAAACACTGACATATAAAGGGGAAACACGATAAATCATTCAGTCGAAGGTAAGGACACGCTGACTTCTAAAAGCCGTGTGTATCCTTCACAGAGAAGGCAATCCCAGAATGCACGGAGCAGACGCAACAAGGGAATTCTGATTATAAATCAAGGTCTTAAATTCCACAAATCAATGGTTTAAAAGGTCTTAAATCTGAACAAAGAGTCATAAAGTCATGGCATTAAATGCACTGCGGAAAATGAATATCTTCATCAGTATTTTGTTCCGTTTTCCATCGAAACATGCTAATTTAACATATGAGAAAGAAACTGAACAAAATTAAGTGAGTTTATGATTAAAACAAGAACAAATATCTGATTTCCCTTTGAGTTAAGTTGATATTTCTGACTACATTGACACATATCTGTTCTTGTTTTAATTATAAATTCACTTTTTTATCAATTTGTCATGAAACATGACTTAACATCTCGTCATTTTGCTTCTGAAGTGAACAATCAGAAATACTGAGGATGAGCATCACTTTTTTGCCGTGTGATCAGAAACTGCAGTAAAAGTTGTTTGCACTGCTTCTAACAGTTAACTAAAAGTCGTGGAGATCTGTTGGAAATTGTATTTTCACATTTTGAAGCGCTGCAAATACAAGACAAGACATTTACATTTAGGGACCATTTTGATTTATTGTGCCCCCTTTAATTTATTCCTTAAATTTTCTTCACTTGTTTTTTTTTTTACTTTCATAAAACCTCATAAATATGCTTAGAATTCATTGCATTTCCTTAAAAACACTTACATGCGCAACGTGTTTTTATGTATATTCAAGCATCCGAAGTTAACATCAAACTATAAAAATCATTTGTGAGTGTCCCACTAATTTGCACGATGCAATAGTTTTGAATTAAATCAATCATCACATTATAATCTCATCAGCACCACACTGTTTTAGATGTTATAGCTCAAAACTTCACTTTCTAGAAGCGCCAGTCACTTATTTTTGTCAAGGAGAAATAAGAATTAGACCTTGTAAGGCAAAACCACCATAATGCATTCTTTTACCGTTATATCAATTAAAGTTGCTACATTTTTCTTCCGTATTGTGACATACATCCGACTGCAACAATTTAACAGAAAAGAATAAACGTAGGGCGGGACTTGGTTCTGTGCATCGGTTGTTGATTGGATGTTGTGATATGGGGGCGTGGCTTTCAAAAGTGTATGCAGATGAGCGCAAGCTTGCAGGGGTGGAGCTTAAATCTTGCA